GAACCTCGGCGTGAAGCTTGCGGGAGAACGAGTGGGGGAGAGAGAGAGACCCCGCGCGCGAGCGAGCGAGAGAGAGACAGAAGGAGTGAGAGAGAGTGAGCTGTCGTGAGGAAAGTTGTTTTGGTTGGAAAGCTGTAGCTGTAGTTGAAACTTGAGATGATCGACTGTTGACGTTCGTGATGAGGAGAGGAGAATGAGTGGAAGTGATAAAGGGGGCGTAGGTATCATCTGACCACCAGCTATCTGTAATGGCCAGCGATCTTGTGCATCCATTCATACGGATTCCCACAGGCTTGTTTATGGGTCAAGCATCGCGGCCAGCGCGGTGTGTGCCCAGCCGTTGTCGAAACCGCTTCGACTGGAGCACAACGCGGATCAGGCACTTCAGCACATGGCCGAGGCCAGTCTACTGGTGCTGTATGCTACATGCCTTGAGACTTGAAGCGTACATTAACCGTTGCGGCGCTGGAGTCTTGAGCCGGTCCAGTAGTGTAGTGAGGCACGGCTTTCGAGTCTTGCGTCTTGAATCTTGATGTCGTTGGAAGCAGGTGACGATGCACGAGATCAACACTTTTTGTATTCATCTATACAATCACGTGAACTGTGAAATACAAGTCGATGCACGTCGCGCTAATCCTGAACGACAAGTCTGCGCGCCCCGCACAGCAGCAGCTGTCAATCGGGTGTGGAGTAGCCGCGGTTCAACCTGATTGACTACTGAAGATTACCAAATTTAGCATGGCTTTGCCTCAGAGATCGAGTGGCTGTGCCAGGCGCGTCCTAGATTCAAAATTGCCTTCCCGATCCCAAGACTTCATGACCGCACAGCGCGACATGCCAACAGTCCTCGAACTCTTGTGTTCGCCAGCAGCCCTCCTCGTCACACAGCAAGGATTGCGCAGAAGAAGCTGTATCCTTCGTCAAGATAAGCGTCCGTCAGACGTCAGACACCAGACATGAGACATCGGAATAGACATTTCGTTCTTCGCGCTGGTGCCGAGAAACAAGGCTCATCGCTAGACAAAGACATTGATTGCAAGGGGTGGGTAAACGACTGTTGGTGGCTCTCGCCGAGCGGATCTTTGTCATACAGGGGGAGAGTCAAGTTAATGGTGAGTGATAGTTGTTACATATCGTGCAAAGGGCGGGGCCAGAGAAAGATGAGGGGAGTTGTTGCGTAGTGCGGTCGACGGAGCACGATGGTTGACCGAATCGGCGATTCAGTGCCATTGACCGCTACTACTTCTGGAGCTTTCAAAGTGCCTCAACAAGACTTGGGCGACTTCAATGGCCAAAGGCGGGGACGTATGCGCCGGGATTCATGAACGTGTCGGTCCTGTTGACCCATTCGTCATCCGACTCTGAAAGCGCGTAATGCACCACCCAAGCCAGTCCAACCACTGTGAGGAGCGTCTGATTGCGATTTGAAGAGCGCCAGAAATCACTCAGGCGCTTGACGGCTTCGATGCGCAACTCGTTGAGATCGACCTTGTGAACGACTACGGTCGGAGCGAGTGGCGCCAAGTCCGACTGTACCGCTGCTGACACCATCGGTGGCCTTGCTTCCAGCGAGATCGTCTTTGTCTCTGCGTAGAGCGGTGCTTCACTTTCGTCGCTGTGGGTCTGCATGCCAGACTCTGCGTATGCAATTTCGCGCTCTGACTGAGCCTAAGTTCGAATCAAGCAAGGTCAACTTCAACGATCGTGCGGTTCTTACTGCCTAAAGATGTTGTACAAACTCACCACGCTCAATCTGAGGCTGTCACGCTTGCCCTGTGCACGCCCTCTGCTAGCACCAAAAGGTAGCCAAGCGCCTGTGAGCTCAGATTCCAAGTCTGGAGAGCGCTCCCTTTCACCTCGAAGTTCGCTGAGCGTCATGTCGCCCTCGTCGGCAGCCATGCCCTTTGCAAACTTGGTGAGCACTGCAATCTCCTGCTGAAGGTCTGGTACCGTGTTGGCAATAGCTCTGACTCTGTCGAGCTCCTCCTGCATATCATCTTCCTTGCTCTTGACCTCATCTTCGAGCTCTTGTACGCGTTCTTCGAATCGACCTAGCTTCAGCTGGTTGCTGCTGTTCAGCTTCTGCCACTCCTTCTTGCTCTCGTGGAACTTGTCTTGTTCGCGCTCCAGAGCCTTTTCGAGGTGACTGATTTCATTCTCCAGTCGTGCTTCATGCTCCACGTTCTTGGCTATCTTCTGCTCGAGCCTTGCAATTACCTCGTGGTTTCTGTCAATCTCATCCTTGCCTGCACCGAGATAACGCTCATAGGACTCGAGATCTTGTTCGAGCTGCTTCTTGGCCGATCGCAGCTCAGAATTCTCGCGCAGGGTTCGACTGAGCTTGTCCTGGAGATCATCTCTTTCTTGACGATGTTGCTGAAACCATTCTTCTTGCTCGTAGACTGTAGCACGCAGCTGTTTGAGCTCCGCAGTCTCGACAAAGGTCGTCTTCTGCTCCCCTTGAGCAGCCTCTGCCTCGCGTTGCTTGGCTTTGAGATGCTCTATCGTTAGCTCCTGCGACGCGATTGTCTGTACCAGCTCTTCATCTTGTTCCGACATGGATGATCTGCGAGACGTCTTTCCGGTCACGCCCTCACTGAGGTCCGGAGCAGAAGAGCGACGAGCTAGAGTCTTTGGCGGTTCAGTAGATCCCCGACTGCGACGCCTATGTGTGACTGGAGTGGATACTTGGCGGGGAACGGGTGGT